AGCACCCTGGGGCCCAGAGCTCGGGAGGTACATAGTAGGTACACAGTAGTTCCTGAACACAGTTGAATATACCATACGGAAAAGGTAAAATATGATGTTTAAAAATAATAAGACCATATATGCTTATCATTAAATATTTTGGAAGTGAAGAAAAAGCATGTAAGGCTGGGCGTGCTGGTGTACTCCTGCAATTCCAGCACTGAGGAGGTTGAGGCAGGAGGATTGCTGTGAGTTTGAGGCCAGCCTGGACTATACAGAATTAGAGGCGAGGCAGAACTACATAGCCAGATCCTGTCTCCAAAACAAAACAAAAAACAAAAAACCAAAAGGCCCTCTCTTGCTGTTTGCCCCCACCACGAGAGGCTGCCCTCTGCCACGTGTTGCTGTGCCCTGGAGCCAGCTGAATGTGGCCTGAACCTCCAGCAACTGTGAGCTAGGTAATCCTTTCCTTCCCTCGAGTGTCGGGTATTTGTCCCAGCAAGGAGAGAAGAGTGACTGAGACGTGCTGCTATCGTGATTTGTGTCAGGTGTCAGCATTTTGTCCCGTCCTGCTTTTGCCTCTTCAGGGTGATTCCTGGCATTAGAAGGGACACGTTAGGTGTCGACTTTGTCATTGTATCACGTGCAGACCCTTCCAAGCGGCCACGGGCCACGTTCGGAGCCGTGTGCGGCTCCCGTGTTTCCTCTGTGTGATCTATTGCTTTTTTATTTTTTTACTTTTATTATATTAAAGTGATATTAATTCCTAAGTTTTAGATTTCAAAAATAAATAAAGTTTTCCATTTTTTATGTCTATGGAGATGAACATTTTTCTCTTTAGTTCTAGTAATAAGGTTAATGCTATTAATTGGTTTTTTTTTTTTTTTTTTTTTTTTTTTTTTGTATCTTCGGGACGGGTCTACAGGGTGTTCAGGGTCTCACTTCTAGATTGGACTTGCAGTGATCCGCCTGTCTACACCTTCCCAAGAGCTGGGATTACAGGCGCGCGCCACCACGCCCAGTCTCAATTGCTGTCTCATTGTGTCCTGGGGCAGGGCCAGCTCGGCAGGCCCGGGGATCGAACCGCCAGTCCCTGCCCCTGCTTGCAGGCGCTTTAATCCATGGAGCGACTTGGCCCAATTGATGTCTTAGTAGTGAACCCCTCACATGGTTCTACTTGGTCATAATGGATGTTGGATTCTGTTCCCTAATCATTTGTTTAAAATATTTGCATCAATATGTATGAGATCAATATACGGTTTTGTGTATGTGTTATGCAACCTTTTGTTTTAGAACTAGTGTTAAAGTGACCTAATAAAAATAAGGTGGACTCTTCTCCCCTTTTTCTCTGGAATAGTTTAGAATTTACATTATCTGGTCTTCAAACATTTGGTAGAGTTCTTTGTGAAACGAGCCGACGGTTTTACTTTTTCCATAGAAAATTTCTTTGTTTTGAGCTTTTTATGTATTTGTGATTTCTTCACCTTTTAAAAATTAAATGTTTATATTTGGTTGGTTCATTTTTTAAAAAAGAAGTATAGAATATAAACAGTATGTGGCTATGAGCTGCATTGTTTAGAGAAAGAACATGTATTCCTATTTCATTTATTTTTTTGTGGAACTGGGGATTGAACTCATGCCCTTGCGCTTGCCAGACAAGCACTTATTCTACTGAACTATCTCACCGGCCCCCGTTTTTCCATTTTAAAGAAAAGAAAGTTGCTGTGCTGGCCCTGCCCCTGGGGTGCGCTGAGCCAGCGGTTGAGACTGGGCGTGGCGGTTCGCGCCTGTAATCTCAGCACCTGGGAGGCTGTAAACAGGAGGATCACTACCAGTCGATCTAGTAGTGAGATCCTGAACACCCTGCAGACATACAAAAACCAAACCAAAACAAAAAAGAAACAAAGGAAATTTAGAGGCAAGAGTTAAGTAATTTAGGTGCTGATTTTATAAGCACAGGGCTTTCTGTGCCTGTGAATTATTCTGTCCCATCGGTGTACCAAAATTTATTTAATCTGTTGCCTGTTTTAAAACTCTAAGGATCTTCCCAGTTTCTGGCAGTTACAGCAAAGGTTATGAAGAGACACTTACTGAATAGAAATCAATGGACTCTTTCAGTTCTTTTCGAAGGAAAATGTTCTAAAAGAGCAATTAACCAGAGGGCCTGCACACTTTAGTGGTACTAATAAATACTGTTTAATCACTTGCTAGAATGTTCTAATTTACTTTTAATTTTTTTCTGCATATTCTGTAGGGATTTAA